TACTCGGTAGGACATGGAGCCAGTTAAACCTTTTTTAACATGATTTAAAAAGGTATTTTGCATGAACATGTTCGCATCAATACCGTTGGTTCGTGACATCCCACTAGACACAGGGAGCCGTAATTAATATGTTCTGCCCCACAGACACGAGTGGATGGAAGTTATGGTCAGCATCCCTAAGATTAGTGAGTTATCTGTCTACTTGTAATGATGAACCCTCCATTAGACACTATTTTCTATTGGTAGCTCGAAGAAGATTGCCAGGGTTGTAACATTGAAGGTTTTCGTGTGGGGACATTCAGTTGTAAGATAAAAACTGACAATGTGTCCGAAAACTCATGACGCACATTGCACTGTATTTCACTGTCTATGCTCTAATTAGTCCCAGAAAATAAAACATCCGCCTATTCTGGATAGACGGGGATATTCGACACTTGCCTGTGCAAAATAGGAAACGTTGAGATGTCACTATAATTCCTGGCACAGCAAATGTGGTGGAATGTTACAAGCATTTACAAACACGTTCCGCTCAGCTAAACATACATTCGAAAAACCGTTTGTATTCAAGCGACCGAAGCGACTGTTCTCACACATCAGCTACGGAGTAATGAGACTACTGGATACCCAACTTAACTACGAAAGGTAATTTATCTCTAATGACAGGACAAAGAAGCCATGTCTGATTACCTTAGAACCGTCTCTATTCATGCGCTTCTTCCCAATGAAAAGTAAACCTCAGAATCGATATCGGTAAACCAGTTACTCTTCGAGGACCTCAACCGGGACGACGGGTAAAAGGTATCAAGCACTTCAAACAGAGAAAAATCAAGAGGACTTTTCAAATGAGAAAGAAGTTTTTTGGATTATGGAAAATCATTTTATGTGGTCAATGTAGGCGTTAGAGAATCATTTGTCAAAGTGCTCTACACCAGACTCATTCAAAGGCTAGAAAATCTTAAGAGAAGCCACATACATTCGAAAATGAATGGAAGAGTTTTGGCAGGTTGTGGGCAGAAAGCATAAATTGTAGCGACCGAGATACCAATTTTCGCTTTGAACGCAGAACTAATCAACCCAAAATTATCTGAATGGACCAGACTACATTCTTTTTTATAGAGTACAAGGTTTTTAAAGTAACTCGTATTAAATTTATCATAAAAAACTGTTAAATTTAAATGGTTCTAATTTAATAAATAGAACAAATTATATTATAATTACAAAATGCCTCAAACGGTACAGTCTCTGTCATACAATCGAGAGTTACTCTAACACAAACTAGCATGCTAAACAACGAAAGAAGTAGTTAATAAATTAGAGTTTGATGCCTAGGAATGGAGGAAAAATATCCCTAAAGAAGTGAGATCAGTTATCTATCTGTGAAGGTTCCAGCGATCTTGCCAGGCAGATAGCCAAAGGTAAACGATCACACACTGAATTACGACGTGACATTGAGTTTAGTCGAACAAGATCTTATTTTCAATGGTCCGGCAATAGTAAATTAAGTAGTAAAAGAAACATCTTTGACCAGGATTGCACGACAAGAGCCTCGATGGAGAAGACTGAAGACGATAAATGGCGCTTAAAAGAGATCTGAATAAAGGTTAGATTACATGACAAGAAGAAGTGACAAATGAATGAAAATACTGCCCAATGAGATGCTGTGGAGGGATTTTCATCGTTTCTTTCCGTTACATAAATAAGTATGAACGTCGCAAGTTAACGGAAAAAAGTGGATGAGCTACGTAAACTCAGCAATGTTAATAATGCTCATTTGATAGGAATATCTGAAACTTGGATATCTTCTCAGTTTACAAACCAGGAGCTAGCAACACCCGGGATGTATTTGTTTCTCGCTGACAGAAAAACAGAAGTGGGAGCGAAGTAGCCTCCTACTTGTGAACTTGCCTGGAGGTAAAACAAGTGAACAACCAAGAGTTATTAGTTATTAGCACGATTGCCTACCACCTCGAGGTGTCTTCTACCTGGAAGGGTTAACCAGCTCTTAGCGTCTCGGATACAATCGTATCCTGATTCTAGATGTCGATCTTCCCTAATTAAATTTCTCGGAACATACTATTATACCTAGCGAGAAATAAATACGAGCAACTCCCAGGACCTAATAGTGGACGATTATTCTATATGTACGCTTATTTTTTAACTATTGAGTGACTAGATTGTGCAGATCTATATTCATCTTAGTACAAGCTTCATTTTGACCCATGGATTATTAGTATATGAATTACTGTTACTAAATCATATTCAGCTTATTGATTATTGTATCCCACGTTCACAGCCACATTTGTCTTGATCCTGTACAAATATTATTTTTTATTTCATGGTGTTATGCAGTCTGTTGTCTGGTATATAAACCGGGTTTATATTCGATTCGATATAAACCGGGTATGCTAGAAATGATTCGCATAGATTCGTAAAGCAGAAGCTGTAATTGGTGTTCTAGACTCAATTGGAAGGGCTAGGCGGATAGGTGAGCAATACGGACACTAAACTGCTTATACCAGTTGAACGTCATTGATTTGTCACAGTGTTATTATTAGAAAAGCCGTATTTTGATTGGTGGATAATTCGCGTGATAAAAAAGCCGGACATAAAATCAATAAAGAATCGTCATACGGTCCTATTCTTTTATAAAGTCATAACACATACATACATTAGAGTTGAATACTCAACTAAATCTCGGTTCTTCAACCTCATTGAAGTTTATTAGAAAATGTGAAGTTGGTAACTCGTTGTAGGAACAGTCAGACGTCGTTGCGCTTAGACTGTGTATTTACGAACGAAAAATTCCTAAATGACAGCCCTTCAATTCTGGCTCCCCTGGGGAAAAGCGATCACACCGTCCTATCCTTCAGTTTGGTCATCAAAACTGAACTAAGATAATCCACCAACAACAGGCGCTAGAATTTGAAACGGTTGAATGTGTTAGCTTCACATGACTATCTACGACAGGTGGATTAAGATGTTTACCCTTAACTTGAAGTGGATGCTCATTTGGATTTCTTACTGCACACGCTTTATTGTGCTACCAAGCATTCAGTTCCCAAAACAGTCCCCAAAAGCTATAAGTAACCTACAATCACCAAGAACGCACTATTCGTGTGCTAAGCCACAAAAGGTACTGTTGGGCAGAATACAAATGAACTGGTAATAACGGCACACATAGGCAGTACAAACAAATAAGGAACATGCACAAAGGCAATAGGGGAAGACAGACTTCATTACCAGATAAAGCTTATCGATAAATTCGTCTCCAATCCAGAAAGCTTATTCCGTTATGAAACCCCTCTTCGGCAAGTCAAGACTGGAGTTTCCCAACTGCAAAGTTCTAATGGCCCGATCAACAATGACGGTGACGTCGATAACTTTCTTGTTGAACAATACTCTTGAACATTTCGACCGACCCACAATAACTATATTGATGAAAACTTCATCCGCAACTGCACAAGACATTTCGAAATGAACCTGAGTATTGAATTGGTGTTCGGAAAACTGCAGCACCCAAGAATAGACACTTCTCCTGGTCCGGATATGGTTTATTCTTCTATACTGAGGGAAGCAGCTTCAATATGGCAATATTGCTGAGCGTGAGGTTCTCACACTCATTAAGTCGAGGTACATTGCCGAAAACTTGGAAGTTGGCTCACATCACACCAATTTGTAAAGGAGATCAACGAAAGGAACCTTCAAGATACCAACCAGTAGCTCTTCTTTCTACACCTCCGAAAATTATGGAGTCCCTGATATGTGAAGGCATATACAACTATTTAATATTCTTAAACTTCTTACCACCCCAACAGCAGGGTTTCGGGAAAGGTCACTCTTGTACAACCAATCTGCTGACTGCAGTGGGATGTCCTAGTGGGGTCCGCCATGGTTCAGTACTAGGTCCCTTTCTTTTTTTGGTTTACATAAAAGATCTTCCACAACGGGTATCGTCTGTCTTGTTAACTTTTGCGGGTGATGTGAAATTTTGGAGAGAGATATGCAACCAAGAGGATATACTCGCACTTCAAGAGGATCTGATTCGACCTCAAAGCTGGACAGATGACAACGGACCTACATCCAACACTTCAAAATGTAAAGCAGTCCATCTGAATCATGTTGCAGACTACAGTTACAACTTAGGCAACTCTTCTTTAGAAGTATCCCAAGTGTTGGTACCCTACGACTTGAAGTGGTGCGCTAACTGCGACAAAAACGCCTTTCGAGCAAACCTTGCACTGGTAACATGGAAGCACACTTTTTACCAGTTTGCCAGTAGAACTTTCCACATAATCTTCAACAGTTTTATTCGTCCCCATTTAGAGTACGGAAACATAGTATTTCATCCCTTTCTCCAAAAGGATAAGAACACTCTGGAACGTATCCAACGTGAGCCATGGAATTAGCTAGGGGACTCAAATTCAATCCTTATGAATACAGTCTACAATCACTAAATCTTTACTTCTTGGAGTACAGGAGTCTTAGAGGTAACCTTTTATTGGCTTTCAGCATCCTTAACACTTCTGGACATCCACTTAAACTCCTACTTAAGTTTAGCTCCGACACAAATCTGAGGGGTAACACTCAGAAACTGAAGACACAACATAGCAGAACGAACTGTGGACATAACCTTTACTCCACAAAAGTTGTCAAATGCTGGAATTTGCTGCCGGCTGAGCTATTCCAAGCGACTTCTCAGGATTCCTTCAAGAGGCAACTTGACCTATTCTTAAGGACTAAGGATAATATTTTACTATGATTTACCAACTTCCTTTTCTTTTTCCTCTTTTATCGATAATATATATATATATATATATATATATATATATATATTCTGCTACTAGATACGGAAGCCCGTTAAGTGAATGCTTCTTCTATTCCATGCAAAACCATTTGAACCCCCTCATTCTAATTGGTCGCTTAGTCGATTGTTGAATTTACGAACTGGAGTTAAGTTTATTCCCAATGGTTTGAAGGTGGGTGTTGTGATACTTCTCTTTGACTTTTGCGTTACTTTTTGGATAAGTGTCTGTTGAAATTCAGATTCTTCCTTAGGAAACTTGTTATTAGATTTGATACTGTATTCTAGTACAGAATTGTATGCAGTAAACTTCAGACCTGCTTGGTACAATGGCAGTCCACCGGTGGACTATATAATCCCAAGGAATAAATATTTATTCCTTAGGATCTACTTCTGGGTTGTTGAATTATGCTTTTGGCGTGATTAGTATGACCCTTGATATATCCTTAAAAAAAATGAAAGGGGGAACAATTTAGTTAATCTCCCACAGTACCCACAGAACCAAAGTAGTCGTCGACTATCGTCTGGAAGATTCAGCAGGTTTTCTCCTCGTAGCGCTATGAGGGTGACTCCCTAACCGAAGCGCTTCTGTTAGTATGCCCCACAACTGATCAGAATCACAAAAATGTTTGCACGGACATCGTTCTGCTCATTCGTGCTCCATTTTGAGTAGATGCCCTTTTAAGTAGATGCCTTTTTAAGTAGGATTTATGATAAACGTGTAAGTGGTCTATTTGGATGGAGATGACGATAGGCAACGTGATATATCGTGATCATATTCACCGTAATCCTTCTGTACTTTGATGTCTTTAAATTAAGGACTTCCAGATGAACTGAGTAGAGTTTATTCTTATTTCGGGCATCTTTAGTCACCCCTCTTTGAACGCATTCCAAAAGGACATTATCTTGAGTTGAGGGGACGCAGTGCAAAAATTTTTACCAATGAGGTCTTAGGTAAGCACTGAACACGCTGTTGAATAGTAATGAATTCAGGCTACCTAGTGTTCTGGAAAGAAGCCATGAGAGTGAGCATACTTAGTTGGCTGCGAAATGCCAATGAGAAGCGAAATCTAGACCATCACAAAGAGTTATACCCCAGATCTTTTCAGTGGTAGAGGGAGATACTGGGATCTCCCAATAAGTAAAACGTGGATAGTATTACTATTTTCCACCGTTAGTATTTATTGGTGCTGGTAGGAAGTGCTTGATAGTCGTGTATGTTGTGTAAGTCTTCTTGGAGAATCAAGATATCAGCTAGATCGAGCACTCCCAGATCTTAAGACCATCTGCATATATCAGAGTTTCAGAGTCATTTTTTAGTAGTTTATTAACAATAAGAAGAGTGCCCCAAAGATTAAGCTATGTGGTACTCTGCTTGCTATGGTAAACAATTTCTAGAACTTCATAGAGGATAATCGTAATCACGATTGTAATATATATTGCGTAATGGTTTCCGGAGCTTTTATGTTTGCGCCACGAACAACTAGTCTTCGAGGAAAAGAATAGGTTGTTAGCACTCAAATCATTACTCAGGATGCAAACTCACCATGCTACAATGAATTAGTTGAAAAACGTCTTAATGTTTTCACCATTATCGTGGTCGACGCTTATCAACATACCCTTAGTAAAATCATCAAAGCCCCAAATTTCGTAGAATGTGGTTAATTCATTTGCACTAGGCTGAAGCTTCTGGATTTCCGCTGTTTTACAAGCGTTCCTGTCGTCTACAAATAAGTGTAGAGAATTTCAACAGTCTTAGAAATGGAAATAGTGGAAGACATTAAATAGAACCTCGTGATACATTACTTCTCAATGTTCTTCAACTTACTAGCACCCCATTCAATCTTTGTTTTTGATCACACAATTTTCTTCTGGAATCCTATTTTCCAAACAGAAATTGGGAGAAGCCCAAAATGAAACCTAGAGTATGCGTCTTAGTCACACGGAAGTATTCCATCTGACGGCTTTCTATCAAATGACTGGTAAAAAATTAGGAATGTCGCTATGAACTGTGTATATGAAAACCTAGTCTGACTACCTGGTTGGAGTCCGCACGACTCTCGTAACCAGTGTTTGGGGACTCTAGGTGACATGACTCAGAATCGATCGACCAGGCATATATGTACCTGGTCCTACTTTGTAGATGACTCAGTCGGACTGTAGACTGAGGTAAATGAAGTGTTTGGTAACTCATCTTTCCCAAAACATTTGAATGCCAGACAATGTAATCTGACTGGCTGGTGCACAAATAGCCAGACTATATTAAAAAAGACTTTTAGAGGACCACCTAATTTAGTTTGTTGTTATCACCTTCTGGAAAGACAGTCTGGTGATTCGGCATTTTAGCTTCATCTCATCATCAGGAAGATATTGGAAGACACCTAACGAAATGTCGTAAGTGTCCTAAATAAAGTCTTACGCTGAAACTTGGAAGTCACTTATCAGGATAGATCAGGTTTAAGACAACAAATGCGCCATAGTTGTACACACTTTGTGAGCTGGCTTCGGCAGATATTATTTACCCGTATACAAAACTTAATATGTTGTACCCCTTATTTCGTAAACTATTCACAGAAAATCTGAATGGAATATTGAAGTAGGCTCCCCGACCCTACCTGAAGTTCAAAAGGCTATAACTAATCTGAAACGAGAAAGAGCAGCTGGTCCAGATGGATTGGCTCCAGAGGTCTTTAAATATGGTGGTCCAAATTTAGCGACTAGGTTGCCTGGTCCTTCGTTGTAGCTGACTGATAGCTTTTTGAACTTCAATTAGTTGGTCTATTCAGGCTGTTTGGAAATGGTGTGTAGCCGAGGGCTATCTAAACTGCTTCTTAAAATGCTCTGCCTATTACAATTGACTTCTTAATTACTGTTCCTTTTATTTGTCTGGGAAGCTGTCTTGTGTTACCTACTGCCACTGCCTTCTCCATCTCTTTTGATTTCGTTGCCCACAACTGCTTACGATTGTTCCTTAGGTCTGATTTGTTTTGGCTGTTCATCGTGCTTGAAACTTGCTGGGATAAGTTTACAAGAAACTATCAGTGCAATAGATGCAGTAGAAACCTACTGACTTTTCGTAACTCCGGTTCAAGTCACTGCTGTTTCCACAACTGTTCTTATATATGTCCAAGCAACATCTGGATCAACCTCGTTTTCAGAACTGCCTAAGTGTGACCTCAGTTGTTCCTGAAATCTGTTTTTGGCTTTCTCGTCACTGAGTTCAACTCGAATGAGTCTCCCTAATGTGGTTCTTCTGCATCGACTGAGGCACAAGCAAATGCGTGCTCGTATTAAAGCATTACAAAAGTCTAAAAATGTACTCCGGAACGAGCGGCAGTTTCCTATCAAGTCTCTCCAACGATGGCTGATGGCAACAAAATCTATTTGGGTCCATCATTGGTTTACTGTCGGGGTTCTCCATGTTAGACGATGTCCATGGTCATGATGACCATAAGATCTTACCTCGGAGACATATCCGTGAGATAAGGCGAGGTATGCACTCTTAGAGTCGACCTTTTTAATCCCTCGCCTCCTTTATGGGAAGGCAGCATCGCTGTTATGCTGGTTGTCTGAAAGAAACACCTTACAATTGTCACACTTCTGTACAGTCAGTAGTATGACTTCATCCTCGGACCTTGGCTTTGCTGCTTTTAGTCCTACTGTTCTTCAACCGACCTTTCTGGCATGGTAGGACCTTGAGGAACGATTGTCCTAGCCAGTGTAGCCCTACCGCCACGTCAAGATAACTGCAGCGATCGGATTATAATTATCCAGGCATGTTAGAAAGTAGAAAGAATCAATAATACTATGTGGTGTCTTTTGCTCAGCGGTTTACAGTCAGAGCAGAAAAATCAAAGGGTGCAACACATAAAAATGCAGAGTTTTAGCACAGAAACGTTGACATAATTTAGTGCCGAAAAAACGTATAGATTACATAAAAGGTTTGCAATATTGCTTTTAGAAGGGATTACAGCAAAAAACAACTTCCCACTGTGACACAAAATGACGGCAGGAATTTTTCGTTAAATAAAAACATCTACAAGGTTGACACTTTCTATTAAATGAGCTGTTCATGGCGTTTTACAGCTCAATCAGAACCACTGTCCCTGCACAGTAGACGTCCACTATGTTCTTTTGTTATGGATTGTAGTTAAGTACCTTGCTGTGACTTTTACCATGTCATTGGGTAATCTAAAACTACAATCAATCAAATAGATGCAGCGCTTTTACCCGGTCAAATGTATGCTTATAGTTGCTGACGGCTCGTAGAGTCCATTGTAAGTCACCGCGTTAGCTTGACCTATCATATTACGTCACGACACATGAAAGCCTGCGTCTCACTCCATAGGACTAGTTAAACTATAACAGGTCTAATAATACGAGTAGCTCCCTAAAGTGTTTTTATGTCTGTGACTATAATCGCTTCCAGTTTATTCAAAACTATAAGCAGATATTTAAGTCCTCAAAAAGCGTCTGAATTTCTTTATAAAATTGCATGATCAGGATGTTCTGTACTAACACATTTTGGAGACCGGCTCATCATGTGTACAGTTTGTGATATGTATGAATTGCCGTTTACAGTTAGACATCAATAGTACTTACAAGAAGATTATTAGCTTTATTTACAAGCACTAGGAATACCAATTATTTGCTTCATTTTAGGGTTAAAGGCATGCGACTATATGTGTGCTGATAAACTAAAGATAATGATTCAACTTATTAATCGATGTGTGCAATAATTTCAAATACTGTTTTTTCTTTTCCAGTTCCATACATATGATCTTTGAATTCAAATGAAATAAAATGTCCAATCGTCCTATATGGTTACGTGGAGTACTTTTTATTGGAACAATAATAGCTTCAGCTTATTATTTAACATATATTCGATATTATGCTTATGAAAAAAAGCGACTAGCAACACAAACACCTCATTTAGATGAAGATTATATTCTTGAATTTTATAAAGAAGTTGCTGAATCCTCTAGAAAAACTGAGTGGACTAATAAAAGAGTAAATAGACCATGGGGAGAATAATTTTAATGAGAAAAAAATCAGGAAACTGATTTTTTCTATCCGTGATATGTACATAAGTATCTATGCATAGCAACTATGTTAATGATAGTAATTTGTAACTAAGAGTAAAAGACATTACATTGTAGAAGTAATTTATTATGTACAAAATAAGAACATTTCCTACTAATTCAAAAATTGTTTTAATTTATTTCATAAGTTAGCAACTTGATCGTTTTCTTTTGACAAGCTGTACGAATGGATTGTACAATTTTTGTAGATAATTCTGAATAAGATGAAGAATTTTTTAAATATTCTAATCTTGAAAGAAATGATTCAACACTAGTTTCTGTGATACGTTCAACTCCTTTCATATTTATATCCGATGTATTATTGGGTAAAGTGACCTAATAATCAATTATGTAAGAAATAAACATCATTATATTATATTGAAAGCAAAGTTTAATTTTTCAAGTTAAATTGTTTACAAGAAACTTATTTCATAGTTAGAGGACTTGAGTGCTGTTAGATGTATGAGGGCAGTTATCACTTCCCGGTCGCTCACACGGTGGAGGTACCTGAAAAGGAAATTAAATTAGAAGTGGTCTTAATGATCTGAGAGCGTGACCGCAGTACCCAAGGGACAACTGCTTGAGGTCGGTCACACAGAATATTTTTGTGTTAGCTCCGTACTTGTTGGGACCTTACCGCCGGAGACGGATATCCGTGGGATAAGGCGAGGTATGCATTTTTAGGGTCGACCTTTTCTTTAACCCCACCCCTCCTTGTGGGAAGGCAGCATCGCTGTTATGCTGGTTGTCTGAAGGAAACACCTTACTGCTGTCACACCTCTGTAGAGTCAGCAGTACGACTTCGCCTTCAGACCTTGGGTTTGCTGCTTTTAGTCTTACCGCTCTTCAACCGATCTGCCTGGCATGGTAGGACCTTGAGGAACGATTGTCCTAGCCAGTATAGCTCGATCGGTTTATCACGATAGGCAAGCCCGACCACCACGTCAAGTTAGCAGCAACGGTCGGGAGTCAGAGGACTTAGGTTTTAACCATTACGTTACAAGTACAAACCCCATCTCATACACTTCGATTTAAGGATTGGGGCAGTATTACTAACCTCCATCACAAACTAAGAGTAGATCAAAGAATTTTATGCAAATAGGTATTTGGTTACAAAGTTGTATAATTAGTAGACTGTTACCTATGATATTAGTTTATTGATTCGTATTCGCTCGTTTATGTTTGCATGGCAAATATTGCAGTTGTTTTCGCCACACCCTACGAACAGCCTTCAACAGTTCACATAACACAGCGTAATACTCACAGGAATGAAGTATTATATTAGAGATAATAGATGAAGGAAGGTTTTTGAACTTAACTTAGCATCTTTTATCTGACAGTCTACGAAATCCAAATGTCCATTTTATAATCGACCTAAAATATATACAGTTAATAACCATACTGATAGGTTTTAAGATACCATACAACTCAATATAGTATTTTCTTAAATTTAAGTATAACAGATAATGTCTACAACAACCTCACATAACAAGTGAAGAATTTTCTTTGACACTTAAGATACAATCTGAGATTAAGAGGTATTGAGAAGCTTAAACAAATGAGGCCCAATGTTTTTAACAGAAGCAGCTACTGTTTATATTTAGAAATAGAAGGGTTGTCAAACCAATAAGACGACGTTAGTGAGTGAATTTAGTATTATAGGATTGGAAGTGAATAACACACTTGGATTAATCAGCGATCTGTAGTCTAAATAAAAATAACATATGCCTAAGAACATTAACACTGATCAGTTCAGACAGGCGACGACTGACTTTTCGTTCAACAGTTAATCATCAGCTTTTTTTCGCCTAGTCCGATTAGTTCAATCCAATCTGTGAAATTTTGAATGTAGAGATTAATTTAACTGACTTTCATTCGGTAGTGAATAAGAAATATGAGCGGTCTTGTTGTTTATTTATTTGCTTGAGATTTGGGCCTAACTTCATTTTACCGCTTAAACTTTCATGATGTCATGCGAGTATCATGAGTGTTAGTTACTATTCGCGTTCGTAAAGACAGGCAATAATACTGATGATCTAGTAACTTCTTTCTAGGGCATATTTCACTAGACATAAATATTGGTACAAGGAAGCACCATATATACATACACCACACAAATCTCATTTGATTTGTGTGATACTGCCCAGGTGCCCAAACTGAAGCAGGTGGTATTCTTAGGGGGCCACACCCGAAACCTTTGACCTAAAGGTCTGATCCACAAGGCAGTGGAGCATCGTAAAGAGATGTAGTCTCATGGTAGCCGGTGACCAACAATAGGTCCGTGCGCCATTTATTTCCTCAGGATACTGGAGCCCATGTGGAGCATTGGTTTGAAATCAGGATTTTCCAACTCGCCGTGTCCACCAACCCGGTTAAAGCGCAGGACCTTCGCTTTTTGTCCTCTCAATTTCGTAAACAACAGTAATGCCACGAGAAGGCAGTGAGTAGGACTTCCCTGGTAGAGGCTATATACGTGTGGCCATGTGAGAGAATTTTGAGAGGGAGAGTGGACTCTCGCCCGTACCAGGGCATTTGGGGGCCACCACTTAACTAATTATACATACATATTACTGAAATTCTACTTTTTTGATTTCAAAAAACTATACTTGTTTTATACATTAAACTACCATATTTCATAAGCTTCAATAAAATTAACTTACATCACTTAAAGCAATTGTCAACTCTTTACACAATTGTTTCAATAAATTTTCTTCATTAGTTAATAATTCTTTTGTTGTATTAATTTGAATTTTTGTCCGATTTTCAGCATTTACAAGATTTTCTACATGCTTACTTAGTAAAGCGGTTTCTTCTTCAAGTTGTGATACCTGGAAAAAGTATATGACAATAGTAAGGCAACTCATTTACTAAGTTTAATGTTTCATTTATTCATTCATATCTTATCACAGTAAGTAACTGAAAAAGGAGTGCATCATATAAACCAAGTGGTGATATTGTGGAAAAATAAAGGAAATTACGGAGGATTCAAATATAGTTGGAAGATTTTGATTCTAAACCAGTGGTCTACACGTGCTTAATAATTCCAAAGGGGAAAGATGGCGTACGGACTCATTCCGCTCTTCGGCTGCCATGGGGTTGAATTTTGTAGTAGGTCTTTATGTTGAAGGTCCTGAAGTGATCCCATAAGAAAACTGTTTGGTTCAGTCTAGGTAGTGTTTCATTCCATACATATGATTATGATGAAATTGCTCTGCTTACCATCCTCCATTTACCAAGTAAGGGTTTTGCATTCGGCCTACACTACTTCTGTGAGGACTAGTAACCTCACCTTTGTGCACTAGCTGATGAAGGTGAGTTGGCACACTGAGTGGTTGAATACTGAGTTATTTAACTAATAAGCCACCTCCGCATAAAAAGTATACATGAACACTAGTACTGTGGTGTACGAGCGAATTAATTATAACTTTAATACAGAGAGCTTGACGGATATTCTTCCAGTGGTTTTTAAACTAAGGAACGACGATTAATGTATACTGCGATATTGTGGACAGAATTGTATTAAATCTACATTATTTGTATGTGTGTATTTTGAATTTTCAGGGACGTTCTTGGCGAATTCTCAAATTACCGATTATGAACGTTGAGCACCAACGAAAGTGGTAGTAGCATCAACATAAACAATCAAATAAGTCAGAAAAATCAGGGGTGCGGTTACTTTACGCTTTTCCCATATTGAGACTTTCACAATACGCCACTCCCATTTTTGTCTTCATAATTTCCTATTACCTTCTATGATATGAGCAATAAGTTTTTAGTTAGGTATATTACACCAGACAGTCGAATGCAATGTTGAAATAGGCCTACCGACTAATTGAAGTTCAAAAAGCTATAGCTAATCTGAAACGAGAAAGAGCAGCTGATCCAGAGGTCTTTAAGTATGGTGGCCCAATTTTAGCGATTAGATTGACTAATATTTTAGCTAAACTCTGGGAGTTAGACGTATTGCCGTTAAACTGGTCTCAATCATTGACTGTTCCAATATAAATGAAGGGGTTAAAATCATCCTGTGATAACCATAGAGGGATTAGTTAAACGAATATAGCATCTAAAATACTAGCCTCAATAATTATCGTGAGTCTAACTAAGGCTCGTGAACTGCAAACACGAAAAAATCAGGCTGGTCTTAGACCATGTCGTAGCTGCATTGACCAAATATTCACTATTTGTCAGATTTTAGAACACAAGCATGATTATCACCGTACAACAGTGGTGGTATTTCTTGACATAAAAGCAGCATCTGACTACTCTGTAGATCGAGAGGTTCTGTGGAAGTGTCTGTCATTGGAAGGTGTGCCTTAGAAGCACATAAACCTCGTGAATGCTCTTTACTCAAACACTACTAGTCGAGTCAGAGCTTATGACAAACTGCCATCTGACTTTGAAACATCAAACGGTGTCCGAGAAGGTTATTTAATATCTCCATTTTTAGAACAACACATGTAGGCGAACAATTGTTTTCAATTAAATCGTCATCAGGCTTTACTCTAAAATACATGAATATTTATATGAAAATGTTAGACCAATCAAGGCTATTTGAGTCAATAATCACAATGAAATAGAATACGTCACCAAGCATAATAATAGTTAAAAGTACAAGTTGATAGTGGGAAGACAGGTGTACTGATAGTAGGAAGAATAGTAAATTACGATAACAAAAGTCTTATCAATAGTTAAACATAAGAAATAAGAGGTCAAACGTGGGTAAATAGACTAGAATAGTCCTGTTTCATGAAGACGCTGATAAGATGCAGTCCCTCAAACTGAACTGGGTTGGTGTTTGACAAAATCTCTGCACGGATTCAAAAAGCTCGTTTGGCTTTTGCCAACTTACGTCACCTATGGTGAAGATGAGATATCCGTCTATCAATTAAAGAACGAGTATATCGCTCGGCAGTTCGTTCTGTTCTACTTTAAGGCTGCGTAAAGTGGCCATTAAGAGTAGAAGATACTCGTAAGCTATTAGTATCTGACCACAGATGCCTTAGAAATATTTCTCGCATCTGCTGGGATCACTGGGTAAGTAATAGTGAGGTTAGACGCAGGGTACTTAGGAATGATGGTTAATCAGTTGATGAATCTTCATCGACTGAGATGGTTGGGTCACGTGTTACGTATGCCTGAACACTGATTACCACGACACGCAATGCTGACTAGTATTGGCGATGGTTGGAAGAAAGTTAGGGGCGACCAAACCAAAATGAGGCACCAATCCTTGAAGTATTTAACTCCCGGCCTGATCCATGTTGGTAGATGCAGACTACTTGGTTGGGGTCTGCTTGACTATCGTAACCCATGGTTGGGAACTCTGTGTGACATGGCTCAGAATCGATGACAATGGCGTAGGTGTATTCACTCTCTGTCTTCCCCTAAACTGTGAGATTAAAATTACTTCATACATTTTATTCTTCGTACCAATTCTTTGTTCTTTTACCATATCTTTATACACAATTTTTCTTTTTTGTATTACCATCGTCGAATTAAATGCCTGGATTTTCATCTTGTTGTGCTAGTGAGGTATGGTAACTTCGACTGATGCATATATCTGCTTGGTCCTACGTTGTAACTGACATACATATTACACCATACATTAAATCTAGATACTAATTACGAATACTAGTCAAACGAAAATATACAGATTATTGTTTTCAGAAAAACAATCAGTGAAGAAATGGTCTTTCGGTTCGCAGATACGTAAAGCACGTCCTTTGTTGTCAATCAAGTGCGATTTTTGAAGTGACATAGTCTTCAAGACATTCGACCTTCTACTACTGGGTCGTAATTTCAAACTAACCTTGGTTTAAAGAGCCAGTTAGCATCACTATGTACGTGTAGCTCAAAAATGAATACCTAAGTTTGTAATCGGTAAGTAAATTTGCTCTCAGTACTAGTTAAGACGTTTTAAAGAGTTTCATCTTATTATTTTCATATCTTATGCACTTCTGATAAACTATTATCAAGTTAAAGACTGATTTAGTGATTGAAGCGGTTGATTACTAACTACTAACTCACCCATCTTAAATTTATATATAATATATATATTAAGTTATATCATAATAGTTATATCAAAACAATCCGCAGATGATTCACATATTCCAACCAAGACTGGCAAGATTCCAGTCAAAATATCAACAACTGGATTATTAAAATTATTGAAAAGTGGATTCATGCTTAAGATGTTAATGCTTCTCTTAATTAGCTGTTACAAAAACCAATGGTTATATTGAAATGTAACTAACGTGCTTCTTCAACTGACGCAAGATAACTTCACGAAGTCTGTTGTATTCCAGAAATTCATGAGTAAATATTGAAATTTTACAATCCGATTCTATATCATTGTTTTTAGTATGTGATATTTGTTTTACTGGTCGTTTACATCCAGCTTTGGACCCATTAGCATTGACCGTTTGATTGGAAGCTAACCATTTCTTGTAATTATCAGTAGTTTTGTATTCAGCAAACAATTTTTTGTACGACTCACGCCCTTCGGCAGCTTGGTCAGTATATACTTGTTTTTCTTCAGCAGATAGAGCAGCCCATTCAGTGGCAATAATACGATTTCTGTCTGAAAATGACTGTGAAGCAATATATTCTGATTCTTGTCTGCGTTTTTTCATGAACAACATAAATGCCGAAAGAGGTCTCCTTGGAGCATTTTTGTCGTACGGAGCTTTCCTCATAACAGCAGTCTAAAAACTGAATACACAGTAAAACTTTTTCGGTAGAACGAATACATTTCGAGTTATGAAAACCTCTTCTTGATCGTCAGGGACTAATCTGTTTACTTACTAAACTAGTGGTTGCATGGGTCACGTGAAAAACCGAGGGGGTTATTAACCCTAATTTACGCAGAGGAGCAACATAATTACCAGAAGACTTCATGATGCACTCTTTACCTATTTATTTTATTTATACAAAGACATTGATACAGAGAGACACCAAAATATATATGCGCGACACAATAAAAATAAGGTTAAGAAGAGATAGAGAATGGAGGGTTAGTATAATAAAAAAAAACAACGATGAGTAGAAACTAGTGTGAAAGTGAAATAACAATAATCATCATAACAGTAATAATGGGAGAAACAGTTCAGTTAAGAAGAATACAACCAGAAAGGATTCTTTCAATTAAAGTTCCTCTCGCTTGTACAAAGAGAGTTATAGCGGGATCGCCATTGGTTTCCATTCTAAATCATGTCTAATAACATTTCAAGCGTGTTGCACCATCTCTATGAACCCAACTAGGGATTAGTGAAGGACTAACGAAAGCCATCGAAAGTCGATATTTAAGATAGTGACACCGATTAAAATATCGCTGAGCCCAAACAAACGCATTATTAACATGGTGTTGCTACCGAATCTCAGAAATCCTTTGGAGACTATGATCAATCACAGAGTCACTTGATTTCATCAACTCCAAGAAGTTAGGTTTTACAAGCTTTGAGTAGAACTGCTCTTACCGATACATTACAGATCCGACCTATCACAGCTAGACTGAAAGTAAAAAGACGTTCCAGATTTGCATAAGTCGCCATGGCTTACATTATATTTGAATTGATGTCATCACTCACGCCATTACCAGCACTAACAAAGCTACCCAGATATACGAACTTCTCGACTACTATCTGCTCACAACCAAGAGTGAGTGCAGGTTGAAGATCTTCCCAGTGTTATAAAAGTACTTTGCACTTAGAAGGTGCAAAGCCCATACTATACCTACAGACACTGATTTCCAACTAATTGCGGATTGCATGGCTTGGGCGTTATTGCACAGTAAGACAATATCATCCGCACACTCAAGGTCGAGAAGTCTTTCTCTAGGCAACAGATCCACACCGCCATTACTTACATCCATCAGAGCTGTTTCCAGAATGTCATCGATGGCGAAGTTGAAGAGGAATGGTGAAATCGGGCAAGCCTGTCTAACCCCACTGCTTGAATGGAAAAATGGAGAAAGGCGGTTGTATGCCCTCACTCTGCCTGAGGTGTTCGTATACAGGGCCTTTAAGATGTTAATGAACTTCTCAGGCATACCCTTCTTCAATAGACAATCCCAGAGAGCAGTCCTGTCCAACGAATCGAAGGCAGCCCCGATGTCAAGAATTATTTATTTAAACACATAAATATTGGTACAAGGAAGCATCAGATAAATATGCGCCTCACAAATCTCATTCGATTTGTGTGAGGGCTGTGATACTGCTCAGGTGCCCAGACTGAAGCAGGTGGTTTTCTTAGGGGGCCACACCCGGAGCCTTTGACCTGAATGTCTGATCCACAAGGCAGTGGAGCATCGCGAGGAGATGCAGTCCCATGGTAGCCGGTGATCAACGGTTGATCCGTACGCCATTTGTTCCCTCAGGATACTGGAGCCCATGTGCACCACTGGTTTGGAATCAGGGTTTTCCAACTCGCCTAGGTGAACTTTCCATGTCCACCAACCCGGTTAAAGCGCCGGACATTCGCTTTTCGTCCTCTCACTTTCGTAAACGACACCCCCGCCACGAGAAGGCAGTGAGTAGGACTTCCCTGGCAGAGGCTATATATTCGCTGGCCATATGAGAGCATTTCGAGAGGGAGAGGTGACTCTCCCCACTCTCGGCCGTACCAGGGCATTTGGGGGCAAGAAACACTAAGATTGTTGACTTGTGATACGTATGACGGTGTTCTAGTATTTGGAGGAGGGTGAAGATATGATTAATACGTCCCCTACTAGAACGAGGCAATGTTTACCAGGTTTTGAGCGATCTGAGAAGTACGATGGAAGTCAATAGTTTGGACGCCATCTAAAATAGACTTATCTCCCGATAGTTGTTGCATAGGTGAAGTGAACCCATACTTTCATAGTTGCAAGAAACATTACTCGCCATCTTCGTGCAATCGAAGTCAATGCTCATCAATATCTTTTGGTGGGTCGATAACTAGTCTTTAACCCAGCTCGGTTCGATATTTAGTTGCAACAGGATCTGCAACCAATTTGCTGACAGCAGTCTGTTTAAAGTGATGAATTCGTTGGCTACTAAAACGCAACATAAAATTAGTGCAAACAAGGGTTCAAAAAATTATTCCGAAAAGAGCGGTAGTTTTGTACACAACCAAGCCAGCGACAGCTAATTGCAATGTATTTATTCCGATTTGGAGCTTGAGATGCAAAGGGAAGGTGCCAGGAAGATCATCGGCGATAACTGTGCCGATAGTGTTAGTCAGAAAAGGGTTATAGTCTGCGCAAAGTCGCAGTAGACAGTCTCCGTTATCTGACCTGTGACCAACAAGTCCCCATCGGCCACCTAAACGACTCTCTTCTGTGCTTAGACGCCCGAACTGAGCATTCAAGTCTCCGGCTAGCATTACAATATCTGTTGGACGCACTTTCTGTGGAAGAACAGTTAACTGGTGGCAAAAGTGCTTGATCCCATTCGGGCTGTAATTGATCAAAGCGTAAGTATAGATGACGGAAATATATCGTTTCTCATACCGATTTCTTCTCAATTTGATAAAACTTTCCAGTCTAAAATTACATAGTCAACTATTAATGGGGATTCAGTTGATTAGTGCTGCCTCCGTTCTAGCGATTAGTGCGACACCAACGCCGGCAAAACCAGACTGAGATGTGCATGTGGTGTCAGAAAGGCTGGTTCAGAATTCCTATTTAACTTTTGACCAGTTAGTGACTTGAGATCGCTTAGATAGGGCAGAGTTTCCACCATAGGTGAGCTGCTGCATAAGTTGAAAAATAAAATAAGGAAAATGAGAATAAAGGGGAATACATAAGTGACGTAGTATAAAAGAAATAGAAACGAACTTTATCAAACGTTTGTGAATATAGTTTGTCTGAATGAGCGTTGAAGTGAGAGCAATTTTCCTAGTAGTAATTATCATTGCCAACTCAGGTAACTTATCCTTCGTTTGAGTAGACATCACTGGTCGACTCGAGAAAGTCAATGCAAGATAGGCTGCGTAGAAAGTCCTACTAATTACTTTCGTTAACCTATCTTTAGATATGTTCTGTTAATACTTTAAGTCAGGAACTGCAATTTATCTATAACTCAGTGACAGAGATCGGCTACCCTGCTGCGTTCATTAAAAAGTACATGTATGATACAAGGAAGAAGTCGGAGATTTCAACTGTTCGTAAGAAACCTTTATACATGAAATTACAATTCAACGGGGATGTAGCTAGTGATACTCTGAAAGATAGGTTAACGAAAGTAATTAGTAGGACTTTCTACGCAGCCCATCTCGCATTGACTTTCTCGAGTCGACCAGTGATGTCTACTCAAACGAAGGATAAGTTACCTGAGTTGGCCTCCTCCATGTGCATTTATAAGTTCAGCTGCTCCTGTGGAGATAGTTATATCGGGCGTACTACTAGGCCCTAATTGGAAACCATTGTTCGCTTACATGTCCTAATTTTCACAATGGGAATGTTTACTATCATTGATTTGTGTGTGAGCTAGGATACTGTCCGAGTGCCCAGACTGAAACAAGTGGTTTCTTTAGGGGGCCACTCCTTGAGCTTTTGATCTTAAGGCCTAACCCACAAGACAGTGGAGCATCGTGAGAAGGTGCAGTCCCATGGTAGCCGGTGACCAACAACAGGTTCATACGCCATTCGTCCCATAAGGATCCTGGAGCCCATAGGCACCATTGGTTTGGAATCAGGGTTTTCCAACTCGCCTAGGTGAACTTTCTGTGTCCACCAGCCCGGTTAAAGCGCCGGACAATCGCTTTTCGTCCTCTCAATTTCGTAAACGACAGTAATACCACGAGAAGGTAGTGAGTAGGACATCCCTGGCAGAGGTCATATATTCGCGCGGCCATGTGAGAGTATTTGGAGAGGGAGAGCGGACTCTCCCCACTCTCGGCTGTACCAGGGCATTTGGGGGCCTGCTTTAATTTAGTAAACCTGTATTTATAAATGGTATAAAACTAATCATCAGGTACACAGGTAAGAATCGATAAAGCTCAGAAGAATAGAGAAAGAAAAACTAAAAGAATGCTTTGTGCTAGTTCTACTGGCCTTTCTAAACCTTTTAATTAACCCAACTTCCCTCAAAGCCATATAGAGCATATGAGTTAGTGTTCACTTTTTTCAGTAAAACACCTTAACTGTGATTAAAGTGAGACTATAAATTATGGACGACCTTTGAACGAAACTTAAGGGACCTTCAGAAATGTAAGTAATCAGATACAGTTGTGAAAGGACAACAGGCTTGATGGCCTGTGTTAGTCCTGGCAATCATGGTCTCTCAGCTCATACAACTTTCTTTTGAAGGTGACGACGAATGGAGCCTCAACCACATATTGAGATAATGAATTCTATTTGTTGATGATTCGATGGGAAAGCCGATAGTCAGCTGACAAGTAATTCGTTCCGGGCTTGTGAACGTTTTCGGAGTGTCCTCGTAAATTTTCTGTCTTGAAAAACAAGAAAAATGAGGGCATATCAGGTGCAAATTTATCACTAAGCAATTTGAAAACTGTAATCAATTCGCCTCTGACTCTTCTATATGACAGCGGGAATAGGTTTAACTTGGTCAGTCTAGTATCATACGGGAGCTTCGCTATTCCGCGAATAAGCTTAGTTGCTGTTCTCTGAACTCTTTCCAAGAGTTCACTGTCTTTTTTTAGGCATGGGCTAGCCACTTGTATGCAGTACTCACGTTTAGGAAGCACGAACACTGTATACAAAGTTAGAAACGTTTTAGAGTCGAGATGACTAAAAGCCCTGCGTATGGACCATAAAGTTCTAAAACCTTTGGCGGCTATTGCACGGCAGTGTACAGTAGTCTTTAGGTCTTGACTAACAACGACTCCTAAGTCATTGTGTGTCTGGACAATAGGTAACTCAGTGTTATTCATCGTGTATGTATCTGCACCCTGGTGGCCAATATGCATCACAATATACTTGGAAGTATTTATCGGCTATTGCCAGGTTTGGGACCATTCAGATAATCTCTCCAGGTCAATTTGGAGTTCTAAGCTATCGCCCTTGCTTTGTATCGCTCTCTATATCTTGACATTGTCAGCATAGAGTAAAACCGATGACGATAGTAGACGAGGGAGGTCATTTACGTACAGGAGGAATAACACTGACCCCAAAACTGTACCCTGGGGGATTCCACTAAGCACAGTTTCCCAGCTAGACAACTTGGAGTTCACCCTTACTCTTTGTTGACGCCCAACTAGGAAGTCTTTTATCTACATCAATAGATTGCCTTCAATCCCGACATTCCTTAGCTTATATAGCAGTCGGTTGTGCGGAACTTTGTCGAAAGCTTTGTTGAAATCGATGTGAGCTACGTCTATAGGTAACCTTTGGTCCTTAAGAGCGCACCAGCTTTCACGAGCGACCAATAAGTTTGTGAGACAAGAGTAACCTGTTCTAAAACCATGCTGCTTCTCCAAAAGGATCCGGTTTTCATCGAGGTACTTAAACAGCTCCTTCCGAATAATCTTTTCTAAGATTTTAACAACCACACTAGTTAGGCTAATGGGTCGGTAATTCTCAGGCTTATGTTTTGTACCTGTTTTGAAGACTGAACTTACTATGGCGTCCTTCCATTCTTTTGGTAGACGACCCTGGGTTACGGATAGATTAAAACATATACTTAAAGGGTTCGCAACAAAGTTAGCTAATTCCTTTAGTAACCTAGTTTGCAGTTCATCGGGTCCAGTGGATTTACCTATGTCAAGCTTA